TGGTGGCCGGGCTGGCAGCTATCCTGCCCTAGACGGACGCTTTCCTGTGCCTAGTGCAGGAGATTGTGGAGGTTGGAGGCCTCCCCCAAAACCTCGATGAGGTCCACGATCTCCACACTAGACCAGGCGGGCGCCTGCCTCTTGCGACCCCGGGCAGGCTCCTAGGAGCCGCCAGCCTAGTCCTGGGAAGAGGCGGAGGGCTGGGTGGCAGCAGGTGGCTGGCTCATGCTGTGTGAGGTGCAGGGTCAGCTGGCTGGGTGCTGGCAGGCTTGCAACTGGCACAAGTACTGTAGCCAGACTGTGCCCCTTTAAGGGCTCCGGGGCCAGGAGGGGGGCAGAAGAGTATCCCTGGTTTGGCCCAGAGTGGCCACCAGGGCAACCTGGGAAGGGCTAGCCTCCAACTAGTTCGAATTAAGTGGCTACACAGCCCTTATTTTGAACTACTTAATTCGAAGTAGGCGCTACTCCTCGTAGAATGAGGTTTACCTAGTTCGAATTAAGTGCTCCGCTAGTTCGATTTAAATTTGAACTAGTGTTTTGCATGTGTAGCCCCTATTAAAGTTAATTTGAACTAATGGCTGTTAGTTTGAATTAACTTTGTAGTGTAGACATACCCAGAAATACTTAGCTCCAGCTCTCTTTTCCCTTAAATTAGTGGCCTGGACTACCTCCAACTGGCACTTATCATCCATAAACAGTTACTCCAAGTTTTCCTTACAAATTCACCTTTTTCTGATCAAGTAGGTAGATGAGGAAGTCAACATTGTATTTTTATTATCTCACCCACATTTTCACAAACTATTCCTCACTTCTGGTCACTCTAAAACACAAAACATGATATGTATATATATATTGAGATGGCAGCAGCCTACAGTTAAAATGTGCTACAAAATGATTATCGATTCCTCAAAATATTAGAATGTAAAATCTCAGGAACCACACTGTAGCCAGACAGGAACCCCTCTGTAACATCCATTTTTGCTTGCCTGAAGCATGCAGGGCATACAGAGCAGTAAAAGTCTTGAACAGAAGGCCCGGATATGCAGGCTGCTGTGACCCTGGATGGCTGTAGACAGAGATACGCCAATTGCTGACCAAGAGGCTGCCGAGGAATGCCCTTGACTGAAACGTATATTGATACGAACAAACAGCCGTCTGCGGGGGGAGGAATCTCCCGCCCAGTAAAAAAAATGTCCAGTACTCACTATTTAGTTATTTCTCTTGCAAGTGTAAATTAAGTTGAAACTCCCTTGTAAGAACTGGCGTCACAAAGACAGACCAACACAATTTGGCATCTTAGATAAGAAAGAGGATATGGGCCCCTCTGGGTATAAAGACGGATCCAGCAGCATACTTACTCTGAGCATCAATCTACCATCTATCTGCTGGTCGGGTTAGGTGATTGGCCTCCCGAGGTTCCACGGGGATGCCCACCTCGTATTCGTCTTTCCTAGGAATTGAGGGACCGGCCCTGGCCTGATACGCTGGAGTTGAGAGGCACAGAAGGGGGTAAAAATTGTACCTGGATGTGGTCCTTTGTCTTAAGTGTACACATAGACTTAGAGCTCTTTAAAGATTAAGCTGTCACTTGGTACCATTATTTCTATTTTCTATCTTTATTTTCGTTGTAACCATTTTTTAAGATCTATATTTGCTAGCAGTTAAGAAATAGAGCAATAGCCATTGTAACCATATGATTTATAAGCTTCTTTAATAAACCTGTAACTGTTTAAGCTTTAATCTGACTCCTTCAGTTGCTGTAACAGAACCAAGCACAATTTAAAAGAACTTCAGCCGGTCATAGGGACAGGTATAGGGAGAGCTTGAGCGTTTGGATCATGTCACTTCCAGAGGACAGATCCGTTGGGACATCTCTCAGCCTCCTTGGCTGCCCACTGCGAAGGGATCCTGTATTCTAGCAGTTGAAATCTGAGATGTAATAAGCTTTTCCTATAAATTCTGGGGCGTCTGTCAGCTTATTGGCTGCCCTCCATGACGGGACCCTGGTCCTAGCGGTAAAGACAGAGACATTAAACTTCTCGGGGCGCTTCGGGGCCTTGTGTCCCAGCAGTTAAAGACTCGGGTGTGACACACACACACACACACACACACACACACACACACACACACACACACACACACAGTGCCCTGACCATTGTCTGACACACACTATAAATAATATACTATCTCATGGGAATCAATTCACACAATAAACATGGATTTTTCTCTCATTGTAGGAGAGGAAGAAATTATTAAAACTTGCGGGTACATCTAGACTACACCTCTCTGTCGACAGAGAGATGTAGATTAGGCACACTGAAATTGCTAATGAGGCAGGAATTTAAATATCCCATGCTTCATTAGAATAAATGAGGTTTACAGGATCTTTCGAAAAAGGGTTGTATTTTCGAAAGATCTGCGTCTAGAGTGGCAGCCATGTTTATGCTAATGAAGCACGGGATATTTAAATCCCTGCCTCATTAGCAATTTTGACGTATTTAATCTACATCTTTCTGTTAATAGAGAGGTGTAGTCTAGATGCAGCCTGAGAGATGGAGACTTGGTAAAAATGTGATAAAGTCTCCTGTGGAAATGCCATAATATTAGACGCTTGAATGATTTATTCTTTTCTTGACAGAATCTCTTTTTAAATTAAAACACAAACAAAAATACCTTATCCAAAATACACAAAAATAATTTTAAAGTGTAGTCCTGAAGTGACCAAAATCTATAATATTAGCCCAACTGATGCAATTATTGTCTATCTTTTGATAACATTTTAGCGCTTGAATCCCAGAGTTCCTGCACTCCTGCAGAAAATTGGTCCTTTGTAAAAAAGAGAGTCATGACTGCACCCCTTCCATCAGCTGTATTGTCATTTTCACAGAAATGGCTATTCAGGAAGCATAGAGCCCAATGTTGCCCCTCCCCCCACCTGGCCAACATGATGGTGGTGGTGAGGCGCTCTTGTAGATAGATCCTTGTAGTGAGGCTACTTGTAAACCCTTAAGAGTTGAACTCATGGTTACCAAGATACCTCAGTTTACAGGAAAAGAGATACAAAAATAGACTAAATAAAAACATTTTAAAACTCCCTAAAATTCTCCTAAAGTTTTAACAACACTCAGCTGGAATGACCTACCTAACTCACTCATGTTTTTATCATCTGAGAGCAATATGATTAAGTAGTTTATGTTGGTAAATGTCACTGAAGTATCTTAGTGCTGCCTTGTTACACCAAATTTTATATATTTCTATACATACCATATATTCTATACATGCACATAAACATTTTTATATATATTAATTTTATTAATGGATTTCTGTACATTAATTCTCTTTCAGCATGGCTTATCAATATTTACTTACCATTCTAGAGCGAATTTCTTTGGCATACAAAGGATATAAGAATTCTGACTCTCCTTCCAGTTGAAGTCCTTCTTTTGTAACATGGACATATCCTATTCCCGTCTGTGGAAAAGATGAAAAAGTAATGTGTACTTTATTTTCACTGCAATTTTTATTTCTTTTTCATTTGTTACATTGGATCATTATAGAATTATCTTTTCCCCCCTATGATATTAATGATGATAACTGCACTTAACACTAGGACTTAACACTTTGGTTAGCATTTCAAAATTTGTCAATGAATTCCAAACAATTCTTCTTAGGGAATGATACATTTGTATGACCAGACATAACAATACCTTTTATTAATAATGTGTTTTTGAGGAAAAAACATAAAAATGTGATGCAAGAAAGAAAGCTGTTAGTGTAGTTGAGCTCTGTATGTTGAGATACTTCATCAGCAAGGACATGATGAAGCCTGTTTAAGAAGAAAAAACATCTAAGTTCAAAAAGGAATATGTATTGTTCTTCACACATCTTTTGTGCTTACTTTCCAAGAATGTATGAACAATTTATTTTTACACATAGAAGTGCTCAAATAGAGTAAAACTTTAAGATCAGAGGCTTGAGTACTTGCTCTGTTGGTGGTATATTTATTTGGAATGCGACACTGCTTGACACATAAAAGGGAGAGAAGTTTTGTGATTTCCCTTTTCATTTTTAATTCTTATTTTTAACGTCCAAGTCTTCTCTTCTCCTCTGTCCTTCTACGAACACTCCAACTGTCAGAATCTCTCAGGATTCACATTTCTTTCTGTCTTGCCTATTCCTTCAGTCATTTTTTCCACCATGTTGCTTAGATCCTTCCTCATTCTCTCTCATTCCTTTCATCCCAGTTCTCTCTTCCTTCTCATTCACCATCTTGTTTCACTCTCTTTTTCTTCTTCCCCTCTTCCTTGGTATATAGTTGGTAACATGAAAAATATAGTTAGGGACAATTCTAATTATTTTAGGGTCTGGGCCTAAAAGAATTTCCAATGATCACTCAGGCATTCTGAAAGAGCAAAGAACTGAGCCTGGTGCCATACCCACTAAACAATTACAGAGTATTTAATTACGCTATTTAATTCAATTTATTACATAAAAAGGAAGTGACACCGAACACAATCATTTGGCTGTGTGGATTACACAATATATTTACAAGAAGAAGCAAATACCTTGTAGCAAATGTCGATATAGAATATCTACTATGTAAGAAGCCACCAGTGAGAAGAATAAATTTAGTTCTATACAAAGTAAAGCACCCAGCCACTTTTCTTGCATTTTCTTTACCCATAAGGGCTACTGTAACTCACATACTTACACTGCATCATTTGGTTGACTTTATATGCAAGGAAAGGAAGAGCTGCAGCAAGGAGGACATTCTGTTCAATATAGATTCTGATATTAGGTTCATCATTGTAGTATCTAAATACAGTATTTGAGCTGAATCCACTGCATTGCATAAATGCAGAGATCACGGCACATCAGCTTAGTCAGTAGGGCCTAAAGACATCTGGAGGTGGGTTTTCATAATAGCTAGATATACTCCATCACTGTTTCTGAAGCTGTAGAACATTGCCTGATCCTTTTAAAGGGTAATATTACTTGCATTGATTGACAATGGATCAGAAAGTTAGATTGAAAATGGATCAGGTTAGATAGACATCTGTCAGGGATGGTGTAGACGGAGCTTGGTCCTGCCTTGAGGGCGGGGGGCTGGACTCGATGACCTCTCGAGGTCCCTTCCAGTCCTATGATTCTATGATTCTAAGGTTCTTTTCCTAGAATCAGTTTACAAAGAACTAAAACTAATGTGTTCAGTATCTTGTAGGGACTCTTGGGCTGCATCTAGACTGGCATGATTTTGCACAAAAGCGACCGCTTTTGCGCAAAATCTTGCCGCCTGTCTACACTGGCCGTATTTGTGCAAGAACACTGACTTTGTAATGTACAAAATCAGTGGTTCTTGCGCAAATACTCTGACGCTCCTGCTCAGGGTAAGCCCTCTTGTGCAAGTATTCTTGCGGAAGAGGGCCAGTGTAGACAGCAACATTAATTTCTTGCGTAAGAAAGCCCAGTGACTAAAATGGCCATCGGAGCTTTCTTGCGCAAGAGAGCATCTACACTGGCACAGATGCTTTTGAGCAAAAGAAAATCATTTGCGCAAAGGCACATGCCAGTATAGATGCTCTCTTGCGTAAATACTTTTAATGGAAAAACTTTTTTTGTTAAAAGTATTTGCACAAAATCATGCCAGTCTAGATGCAGCCTTGGAGTATGTGGCAAAGACACTCACACTAAGGGCAAAGGCCTTAGAGATTTTAATCAGGGTCAATAATAAAGCCAGAAAAGCTCTGTGTCACATAAATGGACAGGAATAATACAGTACTAGGGATATCTGTGGTCTCATTATTTGCATAAGCGGTGAGGAGTCCTGTGGCACTTTATAGACTAACCAAAGTGTTGGAGCATAAGCTTTCGTGGGCAAAGACCCACTTCATCAGATGCACTTCATGACATGCATCTGACGAAGTGGGTCTTTGACCACGAAAGCTTATGCTCCAACACTTTGATTAGTCTATAAGGTGCCACAGGACTCCTCGCCGCTTTTGCAGATTCAGACTAACACAGCTACCCCTCTGATTATTTGCATAAGCTCTTTGAATTGCATACTTACACTGCTAACCTGGAAGGCTGCTGGGGTCTGAAGTGCTGATGGCATGTAAAGGCCTAATGAATGAAGCATAGCCCTTGAGGTCATGGAGCTTCAAGTTCATCTGATCCATAAAAAGGGAGGAGTCTTCAAAGAGAAGGTCCTGAATGTATTGCAGAACTTTGTGAGGTTGGCCAGAAGATTGATGCCATAGAGAGCGTCTCCTAGTGACGGCTGACATCAGAAGACTGGTTGCCCCAGAGAGTCACATCTAGAGCCATTGGAAGAGACGTCCTAGCCACAGTCTTGCTCTCCTTTAGCATAGTCACAAATTTTGACTCAAGTCCTACAGTAGAGAGTCTTTAAATATGGACACAGATTAAAATCATACTTTCTTACCAAAGCCTGCTGGAAACACATAAACCTCCCATCCGAGAAGATCCAGCCTTTTGGCTTCTTTATATTTGGAGGTAGCACTTGACTGCCTATCTGTTCTGCTCATTTGCCACTGCTACAACAAAAGGATCCTGAGGAAGGGTATGAGTAAAGTATTCATATCCACTTGCTGGGAGATAGTATTTCTTTTCAGCCCTCATTGAGGTTTGGAGCAGAGAAGCAGGAGCCTGCCACAGTGTGTTAATGAGACCCAACACTGATTCATTTATGGGCAAGGTCACTCTGGAGGGAGCAGCTGCAGCCAAAATGTCACCCAGAATGTGTGCCAATTTCGTTAGTTCCTCCACCTTCAGGCCCAAATTTGCCATGAACCTTTTTAGGAGGCTTGGTGGTCCCTGAAGTAGTCTTGAGGGAGCAGGGTACAAGGGCTTGTAATTGCCTCATCTAGAGATGAGGAGGAGGAGCGTGGGTTCCTTCCTGTTTCTCTGCTTCCACCTCGTCTGTTGTGACCATGTTCTGGACAACAGCACTGAGGTTGGTTCAGGAGTTGGGTTCTGGAGCTGGATGGAAAGAAGTGGTAGTCCACCTTTCTGACACCACCAAGGATGAGCAGTGGGAAGCGGGGGACAGTCCTGGAGAAAAAGCCCAAGCATACTAATATTATCACTGCATCAGCCAGCAGCCTTGTGGCAGGTAGTCAGGGAAAGGTACCAAAGTCTGGAGGTGCATAGACTGGTAGGTCTTGGATGGAGTGAAGCTTACAGAAAGTGGAAACTTGGACAAATGACCAGGGAGGAGTTTAAATGTATAGCTCGAGAATGCCGGGGGGTTATCAGGAAGGCGAAAGCGCAAATGGAATTGCGCCTGGCTAAGGATGTGAAGGATAATAAGAAAGGTTTCTACAGGCATGTTAACAAGAAGAAGGTGATCAGAGAGAGTGTGCGGCCCCTAATGGATGAAGGAGGTAACCTAGAGACAGATGATGTGGGGAAAGCTGAAGTACTCAATGCTTTCTTTGCCTCTGTATTCACGGACAAGGTCGGCTTCTGGACTTCTGCGCCAAGTGACGCAAGATGGGATGAAGATGGACAGCCCGTGGTGGGTAAAGAACAGGTTAGGAACTATTTAGAAAAGCTAAACGTACACAAATCCATGGGTCCGGACTTAATGCATCTGAGGGTACTGAGGGAGTTGGCAAATGTCTTTGAAGAGCCTTTGGCTATTATCTTTGAAAAGTTGCAGAGATTGGGAGAAATCCCGGATGATTGGAAAAAGGCAAATGTAGGGCCCATCTTCAAAAAAGGGAAGAAGGACAATCCAGGGAACTATAGGCCGGTCAGTCTTACATCGGTTCCTGGAAAAATCATGGACGGGATCCATTTTGAGGCACTTGGACAAGAGGAAAGTGATTAGGAACAGTCAGCATGGATTCACAAAGGGCAAGTCGTGCCTGACCAATCTGAATAGCTTCTATGATGAGGTAACTGGCTCGGTGGACATGGGAAAGTCAGTGGATGTTATATACCTTGACTTTAGCAAGGCTTTTGATACAGTCTCCCACAATATTCTTGCCAGCAAGTTAAGGGAATGTGGATTGGATAAATGGACGGTAAAATGGATAGAAAGATGGCTAGAAGGCCGGGCCCAGCAGGTAGTGATCAACGGCTCGATGTCAGGATTGTGGTTGGTTTCTAGCGGAGTGCCCCAAGGTTCGGTTCTAGGACCGGTTTTGTTCAATATCTTTATTAATGACCTGGATGAGGGGATGGATTGCACCCCCAGCAAGTTTGCAGATGACACTAAGCTAGGGGGAGAGGTAGATATGCTGGAGGGCAGAGATAGGGTCCAGAGTGACTTAGACAAATTGGAGGA